CCCTCGTGTAGCTTTGCGCGAAATTCAAAAAACAAACAAACATAAAAATATAACTTTCTTTCAGCTTTCAATCTCCACGTGCTCACAAAGTGACTTGAAACCTACATTTCTTTGTTATATATATATATATCAATGTGTGTGTATATATGCATCAGGAATGCGTTTGTTTGTTTGTTTTGAATTTCGCGCAAAGCTACACGAGGGCTATCTGCGCTAGCCGTCCCTAATTTGGCAGTGTAGAACTAAAGGGAAGGCAGCTAGTCATCACCACCCACCGTCAACTCTTGGGCTACTCTTTTTCCAACGAATAGTGGGATTGACGTCACATTATAACGCTTCCACGGCTGAAAGGGAGAGCATGTTTGATGTGTCGGGGATTCGAACCCGCGACCCTCAGAGTGCGAGTCGAGCGCCTTAACCACCTGGCCATGCCGGACCTCGGGAATGTGTAGATAACTTTAAAAGAACAGGGGTTATTAAAAAAAAGGGCACTTTTCAAGCATCGTAAGGCAATCCTCTAGGGGGGTGGGTGGGTGTTAGAGGAGACTATAAGGACTGTGGATTACCTCTGGACACATGAGGTAAAAAATATAAAAGCAAATAGGTCCTCTTTCATTGCTATTCAATTGGTCTTATAAAACTTTTAATATGTAAAACAAAACAGTGAAGTTTTGTGTATTAACACTTAATAGGAAGTGACATTTATTTCGTCACTATAAAAATCCGCAAGTCTCTGTATGACATTCATTTTTAATCTTTTGTTGTTGTTGTTGTGTTTTTTTTCCTAAAAATTCGCAGCAAGCAAGTTGTAGAATCTTTTCTTAGTTGTTGACAGTTTTTATGACAGAAAAAAGGGCACTTTTTGGGATATAAGGGCAGGAAGCTTGAGCCAACCCAGTCACTGTAAATGTTATCCAACAGAATTCTAGTGCAGTTTTTGTTTCTCTAACCATGTTATTACTTTATTTTTTTTAAACAAAATAAGGCTGTGACTACTTCACACGCCATTTTTTTTTCTCCACCTGATGCGTTTGAGCTTTGTAGTATGACGTCACGAGGTAAGTAACTCAGCAATCCTTATAACTGACTCGGATGAGTCGAGAGATGCTACACGCGTCTTCAGCTCATTATCGAATTGGTTGTTCCTCGAATATTTAAATCTGAAAAATGAATCAGTTTATTTACTTTTGATAAATGTAAACTGTGCCAGAGGGTAGCCTAGTGGTTAGCGTGCTCAAACTATAAATCCGATGATTCATGGTTTGCGGCTCGTTGCTGCAAAAATGTGTTCCGCATTTTCGAGCCGTGGGTGTGCAATAAGAGCGACAATCAAGTCCCACTTTACACAAGAGAATCGCAGGAGTTGCCGGTGAATGTTGTTGAATAAGTTGCCTTCCCTCTGCTTTGCCAAGTAGTTAGGGCGCTCGACTCGCAATCAGAAGGTCGTGGGTTCCAATCCCCGTCCCATCAAACATGTTCGCCCCTTTTAGCTGTAGGGGCGTTATAATGTTACGGTCAATCCCACTATTCGTTCGTAAAAGTATATCCCAAGAGTTGGATACTTCCCTCTAGTCTTACACTGCTAAATTAGTGATGACTAGCGCAGTTAGCCCTAGTGTAGCTTTGCGCGAAATTCAAAACAAACCCTCTGCTTTTAAAACTTCAAAATTAGAGAAGCTTATGCGCACATAGCCTTTTGTGTAGCTTAGGGCGAAAAACTCTGGAGCAAGTAGACAAACACACTTCAAACTCACTCTAAAACGTATAAACCTTGATAACTAACTAACTATACTGATGCAAGATTATATAAAGAATGTTATATTATTTCCAAATAGTCATGGCAGTACTCCGACGTTCTCTAAACTTTGGATTTTTACGTTTTGAAGGTTTTATGTCCATTACACTCGAGCGTTCTGCTTACCCTCTTCAGGTCCTTCGTCCTCTTGGTCGGTCAACATCTGAAGCAATCTAAAAGAGCGTGACTGCGGGAAAAAAGACGTTTCTTCTGTCTCCGTTTTGGGGCAGTAAGCTTCATTATTTCTTGGGGGTGACCGATGATTGAGATTTGGGGTCTGATATGATCTTGTAGAATCACAGCTGAGATTCGTGCTATGGATAAATAAATATATTGTTGATATACCACGAGTAAACTAACTTTGAATGTTAATCTATAGTTAGATAGTTTCTATCACAAAATAATTATCACATAATTTTTCACCGTTTTATTTCAGCGCCATCTATAATATTACATATTGAGAGAAAGCTTGCTGTAAAAGAAAAACACAGGTAGATAATGTTAAACTAATTCTGCTGCGTGAGTAAAATAAAAATAATAATTACAAAACCATGAATTAATCTAAATAATTAAATACAGATATATGTACACATACATACATACACATGTTTAATTCATTTTGGTACATTTAACATTCATGAAAAACATATTTAACAAATTTGTTCCTGGAATCGTTAGTTAAGTTTAAATTTAAAGACGCGAATTATAAGCAGTCTTTTAAATAAAAACGTAAATTATTTATTGCCTGTAAAAGAACCCCCCCCTCTCTCTTTATACAATATATATACAAACCTAAAGTAGTATATATATAAAGAGCTTCAGATAGTAATAATAAAAATAATTAAAAATAACAAAATTAATACCTCAGGTATTAGTTGAAATCTATTAAAATTAAACCTCATGTACATCTCAAAGCGCCCTCACCACTGCGTGACTGTTTACAGAGTGAATTGCCGCTTTGTAAATTTGAAAATGTGTTATTTCTAATCTGTTCATCAGTACTACTTTCTAGACTCTTTCTGGCGACTACCTAAAGTAGAGTTTGTAAAACTGGGGTCCGCGAGTCATGTCCCAAATTTGATAAAAATATTTAAAAAATATGAGTTATAGTACGAAAAAAAAAATTTACGTAAAATGAAATTGACAAGAATTAAAATATTCAATTTTGGAATAAGCTTTTCATATACATTTTATTTTCAAAATAAAAAACATCGTTAGCTTTGGGGGTCCGCGAAAAACTTTTTAATTAAAAGGAGTCCCGAGGTTACTAAAGTTTGAAAAACTCCGAGTCCTAAAGAATTCTCGATGTTTTGTAGGAGATGAGGAGGGGTATTTAGGCTAAAATAGTGTAATAATAATAAACAAGTTTTTAGTGGTTGTTTCCTTATAAATATTTCCTTACCATTTTATAAAAATCTTATACATTCATATATATTAAAGAGTAATGGATCAACATCTTCGTACTACAAAGACAAAGATAAGTTGGAGGAAAAAACTGTGAATATTCATTTACTTCCTAAGAGCGGAATAAATTCCTTATAGCTAGGTTCCCACTTACCCTTCAAGTTGCCTGGTAACTTCCTCAGTTTGGGCCTGATAAGCATTTAGAGCGTTTTCTGACGAGTACAACTTTAAAGGGGAATTATAAGAAGGCGTAATCACATCTTGTTGTGGCTGTTTTGGACAACATGACGGAATTTGATTATTATTATTACAGAATTTAAGAGCATTAGCTTTATTCACATTTACTCTAAACCCCACAGGTTCTTGGTTTGCCGCTTCAGACCGTGCCACTACAGGAAGGACAGGCTGCATTATATTTGAAGGGGGTGCAAGATGCTGAGTAGTGTGTTGTTTATTGATTCCATTTAAGTCGTCCTGTTCCTGAAACTCGTTTTGAGTCTCCGACTTTGCGCCAACTCCTGGGTCTTGTTGATTGGCGATGAGTCTGCGTGCCATTCTGGGAGATTTGATTTGAGATAGGTCAATCCCACCTGGAATATAGGTGAAGGGTTTTTTATCTTTCTTTAAACTACCTTGTAATGGTCCAGGTAAGTAACTAAAAGGCTTATCAGTGCCGTCTTGTGGAGTATTTGCGCAGTTTTGCGAAGGATGGTATCCCGAATTTTCTTCTTTGCTGATCATCTGTAATCATAATAAATAGTGTTCAAAATATATTTTAATGTATATATATATAAAAATGTAATTTATTTTATTAATTTTGTTTGATTTCGTTAACAGAACGAATCTTTCAGAACTGTACTTTCTCTGAAGTTAAATCTACCAAGATACGTACATGATTTGTTCCTACGACACGTCTCTAAATGAGCATCAAATTGAAAAGTTTTTTAACATAATAACCCATTAGTATCTAAGTTCTGTCATTAATATAAAAGTAACATCTCTCGTGGATGGATAGGTCATTTATTATACAATTAAAATATGTAATAGCCAGTATATTAAAAAAAAAATTCAACTCACTTTTTGTCTTTCCCGCCATGTTGGACCATTTGCTGGAGGAGGAGGTGGTGGTGGTGGTGGTGGTGGAGGTGGTGGAGCCATAATTGTAGTTTCCGGTGCACTCGCTTTAGGAGAGGAATCCAGTTTGTTGTCACTTGTAGAAGTAGCAATGATTATCTGGGGTTGAGTTGTAACTGTTTCTTTGTTCCATAGTGGGTCTGAGAGCGAGGTGGGTGGTGTTGATATTGCAGCTGTGTTCTGAGGTGCAAGTCTTGTTTGCAGCCCAAGGGGAGAATTTTCGCTATCTAAATCTGAACCTTCCATTCCCCACTGTGAAACGCAGACGGGTGTTGGGAGATCCGTTGGTAGAAAGGTAAAACGTGTGTCTGGAAATGTGATCGGAGAATGATTTATTCCAGGTGAAGTCCCAGTGGGGGGATTGAAATTAATCTGATTATTAGATTGTATATTTGCAGACTTGAAATGACTATTTTCCACAGCTTCCCTGGGTGATTGGGTGTTCCATTGTGGTGCTTCTACTGAATTTGATGCATGGGTATTCCAGTACGAGTTTCCACTTTCCTTTAGATTCGCTTCTTGGTCAGGCCACCGTGAAACCCCACTATTCACAAAGTTGGGAGTTTGTACCCCCCATTGCGAACCTGCACTACCGGGGGTACTTGGGGTTCGAACAGCCCAATATGGGCTAGTAGAACTAGGAGCTGCTGTCGTTCGAGCTGCCCAGAATGGTCCTGATGACCTAGGCGTTGAAGGTACATTCTTAACTCCAGGACTGTTCACAGAAACTGGAGAACTGTCAACTCCAGAAAAATATGGGTTAGGTCCAGTACTGTTGAAATTTGGCGCAGGACTCCAGACAGCTGGACTAGTGTGGTCCGCAGCTTTTCTATGAACAGACAAAACAAATAAGGTAAGCAGCAATAAAATGTTGTTTAAATATTTCACTAACTCGGGAGTGTGTTTCCTTGTTGGTGTTTCTCAAATCTAACCAAATCGGGATTGGGTGGTCCATAATTGTAAAAAAAACAAAAACAAACACAGTAGCCTGAATATAGATATAGTATTTCACAAAATAACTCATAAATTGATGTATATTTTATATAGTCGAAAGGGATGTAAGGGATGTAAGGGAGGCAGATGTGATTGGAGTGACTTTTGTGGCAATTATCTTTGTGTATTTGGACATGTCATTGTATCAAATGTGTATAACCCGTGGGTGATAAGTAAGGTTCGAGACCACTTCATCTATCATGACAGTATCCCCCCCTCCCCCGCTCCTCAAGTGACTGGGAACCTCAAACAAGTTTTCTTTCTGCCGAAGAAGAATGCTTTGGGTCAATACTTAACTAACTAACTTATTTTCATACCATTCTTTATCGGTGGGGTCCACATAGTGCATTATATTGATTGATCTTATCTCTTCCCATGATGCAATGCTCAGTGCGAGGAACGGACCAAACAAAAATGAGGGAAATCATTCATTGTCTATGTAGGTGACTAGGAAACGTTAGTGGGACCAGTTGGTGGTATTTTTTTAATGAGTCACATGGTATTAGAGACCCGTAACTACCAAAGTCATGGACATACACGATTTTGTT